GGCTGCGCTCCCGCACTCTCACGCCGAGGCTTCCGGGTGCAGAGGCCACTCGGCCGGCGGTCGCGGGAAGCGGGTTTGTTTCTGCCTGCCCCCGGCTGCATGCTGGTTTCTCCTCCGGCCCAGCCACGCAGCAAATTCGGTGTGTCGTGCGGGGCTCTGCGAAGGGCATCACCCTTTACCCGCCTTGCAACGTTTGGATGCTGAGGAAATTGGGGAGTTGCGACCAAGTTGGTAAAAAGCCTTTTGGGAACTTGGACTTTGACAATGCTGTATTTACTTACGTTGTTCTCTTCAAGACTTTCACTCCACAGCATTCGCCTCCCCCGCCCCCTCCACTTCTTGGTTTGATGCAGGTGTATAGTATGCATAATTAATTGGACTGCGACATTTTGAGAATGTATTCAGGAGTTGTGGTTAAATGGCCTCTAAAACACCACAATGCCTGGGGTTGGAACTTTTTAAAGTTTTGTAGAACTCAGTCTCTTGTAATCCGGGTGGCAGCGCGCTGTTTGACGCAGTTTTGAACAACCTTTCCAGAAAGGCAGGAACAGGATTAGCATTCCTGTCATTCTTTTTTTTTTTTTTTTCTGCTCAGCTCTTTTACTTTAATTTTTACATTTGATTTAGCTACTTTCCATTCAAGAACAAATTTTCAGAATCTCTTCTGACATTCATTTTGGTCTTTATCCCCCCTTTTCTGTCTTTTTATTTATTTTTTTTCTTCTTTTTTAACATTTTATTAGGGGCTCACACAACTGTTATCCCTCCTGTCATTCTTTCAGTGCTTAATTACTGTGCAAGTATTTCGCAAACGGGCGTGAGTTTTGTTATTGTAGTACTTAGAGCAGCGTTGGGCGCCTAACAAAATGCTAGATAGGGATTCACTGCCATTAGGGTGATTACCAAAAAAGCCAGGCTTAGTATAGTTTCAAGTTTCTTCATGTTACCTTTTATTGACAGTCAAGGAACCCTGATGGCGCTGCTAATCAATGTTGAACTGCGAAGGAAGATGAGGCTGTCTGTACCCCTAAAGATTTCAGCTTCCTACAGCGCCCCTCAGAGTTGGAACTGATTCCGTGGCAGGGTTTCGCTTATTGAAATACAAGTAGTCACTGACTTACGTTGGGATTCCGGTCTGATAATCATAAGTTGGTTCTTGGCTCCCTTTTTTTTCCCGTTTTCTTTATTATTGTGTTATTAGCAGTATTCTTTTGAATCCAATCCAAGTCTAGATGTTATGTCCTCAACCATAACATGTGCAGCAACTTTGTATGATGTCCGAAAAACAGGAAGTGCCATCGGTCTTAACTAGACTCTAGTAATTTGAGTTGGAGACTCGCTGCCATCGAGTCCTTCCCTGTCAGAGACGTATAGGACAGAGTCCAAACGGAATCTTGATGAGAGTGGAAAGCCTCACTTCCTTCTGTATGGTTTCAATCTGCTGACCTTGTTTTTAGTAGCCCAGCGTGTATCCCACTACACCATCAGGGCCCCTCGGGTCAGAGACCTACACTGATGTCCTCTTCCCAAAGGTATGGCTCACGTTTAGAATTCAGGTAGCTTTGCATTCAATATAGATTTTCTAGTTTTGTTAGCATAATTTTGTTTACAGATGGAGGAAAAGTAAGCACACTACATGTTTATTTGATTTAAAATGTCACTGTTTTAAATCATATATGCTATATCCTAAACTATTGACCCAGTTGCCACGGTTTTGTTACAGAAGTGTCTGCTTTGATGATTTTGAACAACAAATCATACTTTTATTCTGATTTCTTATGTAGCTATAGATGAAGTAATCCAGAAAATGAAATCACTTGTTTTAGTGCTTGGGAAGGGATAGATGGGCAAGCATATGAGAAAGGATTGGCATAGTATTGATATAGGATTCCGTCATTGCTCATTCTTGCTCGTCTTTTCAGGCAAATAAGAAATTCCTGTGAGCCTAGGCTGCTTTCTTTTTACCTTTAAAGCTGTAGAAGTGACCGGCAGTTCTGTTTCAGAGTGTTTGAAAGCGTGGAATTTGCAGTCCTTGAGCCTGGCTTAGAGGCACCAAGCTTCCACCTATTCTCTATGTGATTTTGCAAATCTTGGGTGTCAGGGAGCACTGTAGCGAGTCATGCCTAGTTCTTGACAAGTGTCTTGGCTGTTATTTCAGCAAGACAAAGTGGATGTACCGTGAGATTCTTCTCACTTTGCCAAAGGAACCTCAGGTTTTCAGAGTATTGGACCTTAACTTGCTGGTTGCAAGTATGACCTTGCAGCCCAGAACTCCAGCGTGCAGTATCAGAGAGTTCTGAACGTGTCTTTGCAGACAACAGACGATTTTCTTTGTTTTCAGACTGTAGCAGTGTCAGCGTGTTATGATGCCATCTCGTACCAACCTGGCAGCGGGGCTCCCCAGCAGCAAAGTGAAGTACTCCAGACTTGCCAGCACAGACGATGGCTACATTGACCTTCAGGTAATGCAGAAGGGAGCTGGCGTGGCTGGCGGGCTGACTGGCTGTGTTCTGACTGAGTTGGCAGGACAGCCTTCCAAATGGAGGTTTTGCTAACTGTTCCTGGGGATGGGACGGAAGGACAGGAAGGAAACTGAGCAGGGACTCTCAGGCGTAGCCTGCAGAAGGAAAGAAGGCAAGGCGGCAGAGCAGTTTCCAACCAGCATAAACACTCTTCATGTCAAACAATTTCCACCTGTCTCTCGCGGACTTAGTCTTACTTGTCATTAATTGCAAGGGATTTTTTTGGGGGGGGGTAGTGTTTTTGGGAAAATGATCAGATTGTATTTGTGAAATAGAATTGTATAGTCTGTTACTGATTTGTGTCCACTTTAGTCAAAGCCAGTTCGTGTTTTAAGGGAGAAACTAGCTACTGAAGCCAGCAGATTGTGAGGAACTTCCTTCTTTCCTGATGTCATGAGATCCAAATTATTACAGGTATTTTTTTTGTATGGAAATAGTAAGTAAAGCAGAGAATATTTATTAAGTTTATGTCCTACTTTGATCATTTTTTATAAAAAATCAATAATGTAACATGCCCTTTTGCCTACTTCCCCTTAGAATAGAGTATGTTAAGTGGACATAAGGCCAAGTAGGAAATAGTTGGAGCTCATCTTTTTAAATATTAACAAAACTGTTTTTCTTTGTATTTTTTCTACCAGCACTTTGAAGGAGAGATTATTTTTAATGTAGATCTGGGAGACTTCAAGCTCGTTAGATCAGATAGGAGCAGGAGCTGGCACCTTAACATTTATCTCTAGATGTTAACCATAAATGGAACTTGTTCACAAACTAGAATTCTTGGGGCACAGCAAATACTTTAGGTAAAATATTTCTCTAAAACCCTTCCCCATACCTTTCCATGCCAGGAATCACCATCCCACTCCATAACAAGGTGAACGTTCTGGTAATGCCATAGATTAGCTGAATAGATTAACTGACAATATGCTCCCATAAAGATTGGAACCTAGAAAATCCTCCAGGCAGTTGTGCTCTGTCACACTATGAGTCAAAAATGGATTCCACAAGCAGATGGACTTTGGGCCTCTACTTAAATCTTACCTCAATACAAGAACGGCTTATTCTAATAATGTGTCACTGTATGATACTCCTCTCCCTGACGCAATCGCTAAAGACAAAATGGGTGCTTAAGCAAATGTGGTGAAGAAAGTTGATGGTGTCAGCTATTAAAAGATATAGCATCTGGGGTCTTAAAGGCTTGTAGTTAAACAAATGGCCATCTAGCTGGGAAGCAACAAAGCCCATGTGGAAGAAGCACACCAGCCTGTGTGATCACAAAGTGTCAATGGGAAGAGATATCAGAAGTTCAAAAACAGGCAATCAGATCTATGTGAAGGGGTGGATTTAATGGAGACCCAAAACCCACCTGTAAGATAATTGGACAGCCCCTCTCAGAAGGGTCACATGGAAGGGGTGATAAATTCAGGGTGTGGTATAGCACTGATAAACCATATAACTATCCTCTAGTTCGTTAATACTTGCTCTCCTTACTATTATGGTTTTTATTTGTTTTACCTCATTAATCATGTTAGAGTTAAGTAGATTCATTTATATATTTAAGATCATTTGGTACATGAAAGCCAAGATAGATAACCCTTCAGAAACAATAACAACATCATTGTTCTCTGAGAGTATGGGAAGAGGGGGGTGGAAGGGGGAAGGAAATAGGGAGCTGATTGCACTGATGACTGTAAAACCCCACTTGACATTCACTGACTCACTCTCTCACTGACTCACTCTCATTCACTCACTCTCACTCACTCACTCTCACTCACTCACTCTCTCACTCACTCTCATTCACTCACTCTCACTCTCATTCACTCACTCACTCTCACTCACTCACTCACTCTCTCACTCTCACTCTCTCACTCACTCTCATTCACTCACTTACTCTCTCACTCACTCATTCACACTCACTCACTCATTCACTCACTCACTCACTCTCATTCACTCTCTCACTCACTCTCACTCACTCTCACTCACACTCACTCACTCACTCACTCTCACTGACTCACTCACTCTCACTCACTGCCTCACTCTCATTCACTCACTTACTCTCTCACTCACTCACTCACACTCACTCTCACTCACTCACTCACTCACTCACTCTCACTGACTCACTCACTCTCACTCACTGCCTCACTCACTCTC